GCAGCTGCTTGTTTGGGCGGAGTCACCAAACAAGCAGCTGCACGGCTAAAACTGCTTAGCTTGGATAGAATTACCACCTGCTAACTTTTTTTTATTTAGTCTCATCTGATCTATGAGGCGTCTAGTTTTTATCATCAAAGATCCACATTTAGCTTTTCTGGTTTCGTTATAGTCATGAAAAAAGGAGCGTCAACTAAATTATTTTAGAAAACAAAACTGATGGAAGCTCTTTGGTATCAACAGAAACCTGAGCTACAAAAACTGATGAAATTTAAAGGAAGGTCCAACGGAAACAGCATAAGAATGAAAACAGAATTGATCAAATGTCATCCAGGGACGTTACCCCGGCTTCGCTGCCCATCGAGCAACCATCTCTTCTCCATCGTCTTCCAGCAGATCAGCAAACGCTGCCTCCAGGTCTTCTAACTGACGAATACGACGGTCAACACAGTCCTCCAGCTCCGCCTTCAGACACACATAACATCTCCTGTTAGTCAGCGGCGAGGAAGAAGCTTCCCTTTTCCAGAGGACTCGTTTCTGACCTCATCAGCACCAACGCTGGGTTCTCTGAAGGCGTACAGCTCCTTCAGAAGGGAAAACTCCTCCTGCAGATCAGGACAGACATCAGCTTAGTTGGAACAGAAACTACAGCAGGATGCAGACAGACAGACAGACGGACGTTCCTTTGTAGCAACATTTAAACAGATTAAACCAACAACTTATCATTTAAAAACACAAAAAAATAAACAAAAGTGATTAATTAATGAGTGATATCTTAGATACAAGCTAAGATATAAACACAGCCTGACTGACGGTTGGATAGATGAGATACCTGAGTGTACATTTCTTTAAATGGGTTTTTACAGGAGAAGAAATCTAGATCAATGTCCAGGATGTATAGATTGGCTTCACCAAGAAATGTAGTTAATCTCCCAACAACAGAACTGGTTTGTCCTTCATCTACACGGTGGGTTCCATTGCTGCTCAGCCCTTCCTGGCAGCTGCTGCCCTCTTCTGGCAACAATGTGGAAGTTGCTGCTGAGGAGAGTTGCCCATCCTCACTCAGATCCGTCCGAAGCTTTTTGCTCAGCGACTCGTTCTTTGTGTCAAGCTCTGAAATCAGAAGTCAGAAAAGATGAGATAAAATAAACGAAAAGCTCTGAAAGTCATAAGAAGAGCAGAAATCAGGCAGGAAAATTAAAAGGTTGAATAGGCATTGATCAAGTTTTCTATATTTAATTTAATAATCAACCAACTATTTCTTAAAAACTAACTTAGTTTCACAGAGTCGGTGGTTGTTAAAGAAAGAAACCTCAAAATCTTTTTTTCTAACAACAAACATGAATCAGAGCAAAAGAAGAAGTTTTGTTGTTTTACACATTTGTTAAAAAACAGAAACAAGCAGCTTAGAGGTCAACCGATAAGGATGATATCGATACTGGGTGCTTTAAAAAATCTATTCTACAGATGAGCATTTAAGATAAAAACAGGCTGGCTAATCGGAGGCGTTTAGAGTCTGATATTTTTTAAGATTCTGTCACAAAAACACCTGGAAAGCTGGATTTGTCATATTTACAAAAAACCGAAAAGTTCTTTCCTTCAATGACCTCAAAAGATTTTACTTTACTTATAATTGAATAATGAAGTTAGAGCCTTTTAAAAATGGAGTTTCATGAAAACATTAACTTCTGAATGTATGAGTTCAGCCTGCATGTCAGTATGAAATGTATTATTATGATTTTCCTTTTAAATTATGTTTATTTCACAGAACTAAAATGCTAATATGTTCATCAAACCTACAGCATAATTCGTCGGCTCTCCTTAACACACTAACAGCATGTTTCCACGATAACCTTTGGACTAAAGTGTAATTTCACCAAATCACAGCTTAGCGTAAACTGTTCATGCTAAAGCTAACGGCAGCTGTGAGCGTTTTTGTGGGGAAGGGCGGCACAGAGCAGCTTAGCGCTTAGCGACGAGCAGCTTAGCGACGAGCAGCTTAGCGCTTAGCGACGTGCAGCTTAGCGCTTAGCGACGAGCAAAGGAGGAGAATCCGAAGTTTCTTTCCTCTTGCAGGAAAAATGGGATTTTTTCATTGGCAGATTTTTGGGTGATGTTGATTCATGAAGCAGACGCTAAAATCGGCCCATTAATAGGCTCACCAACTAATTGGTTGGGCTCTAATGAAGATGACATTAATATCTTTGGAAAAACATCATTTGGAAAAAACTAATGCAGATTGTAAAGATTTTTTTATGAGAACAGAGAAGAATAGTGAAACTTTTTGCAGAAGAAGAAAACCATGGATAAAAAATATCTCAAAAAACCATCAGAAACCACCGATTGAAATGAGGAAGAAATAGGAGGAAACTGGAGTCAGTGTCTGTGAGCGAACTGTTAGAAAGCGCCTAAAGGAAATTATTCCATCCAGGAAAGCTAAAGGAAAGCATCATTAATACCTGAACAGAAATAAAGTAGGTTAGAACGGGCTGAGGAGAAGCAATGGTGGACTGAGGATGACTGGATGAAAGTCATTCATCTCCAGTCTGCACTGGGTGAGGCGATGATGCTGGAACTGATGAGCCTTCTAAAGAGGACCGCCTGAGGAGGACCTGCTGATGTTCAGTCTCTGATGCTCTGGGCTGCAGGTCAGCTAAAGATGGCCGCCATTACAGCTTCAATCAATGAGCAACTTCACATTCAGGTTTTGGACACTTTTCTTATTAAAATAAATGTTTCTGGAGTGAAACTGGTTCTACCTGGAGCTGGTTGGACAGGATGAACTCCGACTACGTTTAGTCTGAGAAGCTTTGAGTCCTGCAGCTGCTCATCACAAACATACAGACCGTCACTAAGGAAGTAGTTGTCAGAACTGGTCACCCTGCGAAAGGAGAAGAGGACAAGGACAAGAGGACATGGACAAGAGGACCTGGATCAGCAGGTTGATAAAGGTCCAAATGAAAACGTCTGGATGTGAACCTGCCTGCTTCTAATGGCGCTAATCCAAGAAGACTGCAGGTCACTAACTAGACATTTTAAAGAGACATAGCAACATTTGGCTACGGCTACAAAACAGACCCAATCTAAAAACAATATCTAGAGTAAACACAGAAAAATACTCCTTGGATCCATCTGGGGAATATCTTTTTATGGCCTTTATGATTTATGTCCTTATATGGTTGCTATAACGACCACCATGGGGGAAGGGGGGGAGGGGGTGGGGGGCAAAGCGCCACATGCTAGCTATGCTTCACCTAAAATCTTTGTTCAATGTTTTCAGTGTTTTTATGATTTTAGTGTCGTTTTTGTATAACTTGCTTTCTATCGTTTTGAGTCATGATGGGAAAGATGAACTAAACTAAACTAACATCTTAACACATTTTCTTGGTATTGATTACGAGGAAGATTATGAACTGTGTTAAAATGTCACAACATAAGAACGTTAAGAAAATACTTGAGAGATTTGATGAGCAAAAGTCCAGAGGAACAGAAATTAAACAACACTGATGAGGATCTGAGTGAAAATACAGAGAGGCAGTTTAATCTATTCAGCAATTTGCACAAAACCAGACTTAAGTTTAGTAGTGAGCAAACTATCACATTTATCACAAGACCTACCACAGAAAAGTGGAGCACAGTTGAGCATGTTTTAAGATATCTAAGAGGTACACAAGACGAAAACTGTGTAAGAAAAAAGGGTGAAAATTATAAATTGATTCATGCAAATAGTGACGCGATAGACGGAGAACTACAGATTAACCGAAATAAAAATGGACCAAAAGACACGACTTTAGCTGCAGCTGTACAGCAATGTTTATTTCTACAGCAATTGTTAGAAAACATTGATGGAGAAAAGTATGAATCGGGAGTGTTTGGGTCTGGGTCAGGGTCAGGGTCAGGGTTAGAGGTTAGGACAGTCAGGGAGGTTTTTCTTTAGCAAAAAAATCCTGTGTTTAGATTATGATGCAAACATTAAATTTGATTTTGTGAGATCTGTAATAAAGGAAGGCAGAATTATTGTGGAATAATGATGATATTTTGCAGAAACAAAACCAGCAACAAAGTTTAAGTTAATGAAATTTAACACGTTTGTTTGGTGATGAATTTTGTATTGAAATGAAATAATAGAAATGTGAGAGCTAGTGGGGATGTTGAGATTTATAAATATTGTGCTTTCATTTATATTTGATTTCTTTATTTTATTTTATTTTGGAACCAAACAATTAGTGACTGAATTAACGGACCTCAGTCTGAAGGAAACTGTTGAAGTGAAGCAGAATCCTGTCGTCTGTTTCTCTGCTAACGCTAACAGATCAGTGAAATATTTCTGTCTGTTTTTTTCCTACCTGATGGTGTTGGTGGACGAGTCTCGGCCGACGTTGAACATGTGCTCTCCTTCTTTGATCTGCTGAGCCCAGTAAGGGTGAAGCCACGCCACGTGGCCTAAATGACCCGCATACACCATGGGCAGGATCCAGTTCTCTATACTCAGCTCGCTACACAGAAAAGCAACAGAAATAATGAAAAATGGCTTTCAGAGTTCTATGTTCATCCGGCGATCAAATGGATTAAGTGAGCTATACAGGGTAGAGATAGGCCCAGATACTAATAACATAGAGCAGCTAGATTATGTAGACTAGATCAGAACATCACTGCCTCTAGTGAAGCAGGGTCACAGATATTAGCTGACTTGCTAAGGAAGTGAATCCATGCGGCTGATTCCTTTAACATCGTTTTATAGAAGGTGGGATAGAAATGTGTGTTTATGTGTCATGAGGAGCTGAAGGAGGGATTAAGGACTCTAAGCATCAGCCCATTTCTGCAGCAGAGCAGAGCTGGACTCAGATCTTCCTACATAGATGTTACCTCCTGCAGCCCATTAAACCCAAAGACCTCCTGAAGGAGACTGGAGAAAGTCTGATAGAAGCGACAACTTCTACCTGAGGAGCTTCTCCTTATCGAACACCGTGTCAGCAGGCATGTTGACGGGGATGAGCAGGTCAGGGTGGGAGTCCAGATGGAGCATCTTGATGTTACTGAGAGGCAGATGTCTTGATGCGACGGCTCTGTAGATGTGATAAACCACCTGCAACAATATAGTGTTTATTCTATCATCAGTTTTCCTGCAGTCAGCAAAGCTGGGCTAACAGCTAACATCATCATTAACTCAGGAAACCATTAAGATTCTGTTTATCAGGCTCTGATTCCTCAGCTGCTAAACAGGCATGTTGTCGTGTTCTTTCACCTTAACCTTCCTACATTTATAACATAACTTTGGTTTATTTGGAACCATCTTGGACATGATGCTGTGCTTTGGGCTTTATTTATGTGAGACGATCTATTCATGGAAGAAAGGCTTCATGCTACATAAGGGTCATAATATTTGCTTGATTTCAGCATCAGCAAACGCAGAAATCTGGATTCCAGATCAAACTCTGGTTCAGTTGCTTTGAAACTTCTGCGCTCAGCTTGTTTATCTTTATTTACTTTATGAGTTGAAAAACATTTCTAACAGGTTTTTAGGCTAGAAAGTCCACCTCCAAACATCCTCTGTTCATCAGGATTATAATCCCACTAAAATCTGCTCCAGACCTCCTTTGTTTTGTGTGATTATAAAGTTTGTTGCTGATAAACTTTAATTTAATCACTTCAGGTGAAAATTAAAGCCGCTGCCTGCGATGCAGACCTCAGAGTTTCCGCTGGCTGAAGGTTTTTCCTTTTAGTTTTAAATGTTTTTTCTTTCATTCAGTGAAAGAATAACTGAAGTGACTTATTGTTTAAATGTTGGATTTCTGCTTCTCTCACATGATGGTGATCCTCCACTATCCGCACAGGCAGCTTCTCGTAGGACCTTTTCCGCAGCAGGGAGAACATCCCGGAGGTTTCTGATCTGAGCGGAGCTAACAGGAAAGCACCGCGAACCAAACCGGTCCTGCAGTGTTTTTATGGCCGGTAAGAAACACAATTGGTACAGAAAGGTTCCTATCCTGCCTTCTAATTAAAGGTCTTTAAACGAAAAGTTCGTTCAGCAGAATTAATCAATGGATCATTATTTATACATAAAACTATAAACTGGTAGTGATTTTATGAATTTAGCGTTAATCAGTAAAAAATAAAAACTATAATCTTTCTTTCTTTCTTTCTTTCTTTCTTTCTTTCTTTCTTTCTTTCTT